TGGATATAGGATCCTACGACTAAATCACCGTCTGGACGTCGGCATGAGGTCAAAGTGCCCCGATCTCCAGGGTTCGTCTCGCCGCTACCGAGAATGGCAGAACCTGGCATTAGAATCGACGGTGGATACTCGATCAGAGCCTCCAGGATTTGCGGAGGCCCTGCGGAGCCGGCAGTACACCGACCAACGTATCCCACACCACGATCGATACTCTGCCAGGCAGAAATCGCTGACTTCGACAGACATCGAACGTTGATATCGACCCTAGAGACTCGATCGAGGACGGGATTGCCAACGCAGCCCAGATCGAGGCTGGGTTTCCCAATCCGGAAAGGGGTCATCCATCTACACCACCGACAAACCCCAACGCCGATCGATACCGGAGTGGCGATGCTGGGGGCGGTGGGATAAGTGAGAGCATGCCGGACCAGGTTACCGATCAGACTGATACAAACGACATCGAGCCGAAAACAGAAAATCCGACTGGAACCAAGGATATTGAGCCGAAGGCGGAGAACCCGAACTGTCAAACCCGGACCAAACTCGAATCCGGCGAAGGCTTCGTCGAAAACCCCCGGATCCACCCGACCGAGAGAGTCGAACTACGAGATCCGTCGGCGGAAAGAGCAGCGGCGAACCACCCACAGGATGACGGGGACGATGATGAGATATACTACCATGTGAGTGGTGATCTCTCAGCTGAAGATCTCGAGGGGAACCTTGCTGTCCTACCCGAAATTCCGATCTTGACAACCGCGAAGGTCAGCATCGAGGATCTGCTGGTGGGAGACTCCAGATCGGCCACACCCGAGGAGATTAAGAAGCTCCGGCAGATCATTTGGAAGGAGCAACACCTCCTGATCGGCAAAGGGAACGCCCTAACTCCGGCGGCCAGGGCGTCGTGTGTGACATCGATGCCGGGAACGCGAAACCGATCGCGTTGCGATCCCATAAGGTACCCACGCGATTTCAAGAAAAAGTCGCAGGCCTGATCAAGGGCCTCCTAGCAGCCGATATCATCCGACCCTCGACATCGCCATGGGTCTCACCGATCCTGATTGTCCGCAAGAATAACGGTGTGGATATCGGGTTGTGCATCGACTACAAACTGGTAAACAGCCTCACGAGGTTGATGGTATATCCAATGCCTCTGATCAGCGATCTGCTAGAGGACCTCGATAAGACGTTATGATATTACTCACTGGATATGGCCAGTGGCTTCTGGGTCGTACCCATGACGGATCGGTCTCGCAAGATCTCAGCATTTATCACCCCGTTTAGATTATTCGAATGGAGTCGCATGCCTTTTGGCTTAAAAAATTACACCGCAGATAGGGATCGCGGACGATCCTGATCGTGCCTCAGTGTTGGGACGAAGATCATACATTGGCAACATTATGATCGCTGTGGAGACGTGGGATCAAATGTGCCAAATGGTGGAAGATCTGATGGAGGCTTGTGATAAGTGGGGTTTTCGATCAGTGTGACCAAGAGCTTCTGGGGCATGGATAAGGTAGGATATTTGGGGCATTGAGTGTCGATCGAAGGTCTAGAGGCGAACCCAAAAGATCTGAAATCCGTGACCGATCTGCCATTCCCCGGATCATTTCGATCCATGCAGTCGTTCCTGGGTAGTCTGAACTATTACATCCGATTTATTGAAGGCTACGCTATTTACGCCTCGGTGCTATATGAACTACGCGAGGTGGAGTTTGTAGAACTGGAGAAACGATCGGATCTGAGGAAGATCATGGACCAGGACGACCCGATTGCACGGGATAACGGCCCACCGGAACTTCAGCTGGCGGAACCATTAGATGAGTGGTGGATCAGGGTGCATATGACTTTCCTCATCCTGAAAAACAAAATCGCGACGACCCCAATTCACCATCGCTTAGACGAGGCGAGAACACCGGTAGTTATCGTATATGCCGGTGATTGGGCGATATCCGCTTCGTTGACGCAAGAACACGACGGGATCTACCATCCGGTTGTGTTCGCCAGCCGCACCCTGAAGACGAACGAGTTGAATTACAATATGACCGAAAAGGAGGTGTTGGCATTGCTGAGGATCCTGGATCTCTACTATAATTTACTGATGGGACGCGAGATCCGGGTCCTAACGAGGCCACGTTAGCTTGGCTGTTCAAGTCGACAGAATTACAGGGTCGCCTAGGGCAATGGTCAGCTCTCCTGGGCCCGTGGCCTCTCGACGTCACGAAGTGTACGAAAGGCGAGGACGAGATACTGGGGACGATCGCTGCTACCATCACGCCGAGGTTGAAGATGGACGACGCCTTAACTGCTATCGCCCCTCGGAAGGAACCTAAACGTCGGATCCAAACACCAATACCCACCGTGGATCGAGAAGAGGAATTTTGGGTGGTCAGTTTTGATGGATCCGCCCGAGTGAAGCGAGGTGGAGTCGCGTTTAGCGCGATCGTGTGGAGTCTGCCCGGATGGGAAGTGGTCAAAGCTAGATCGGGCTATCTCGAGAGCCTCACCGTGAACGAAGCAGAATACAACGGCCTGCTCCTGAGACTCGAAATGCTAGGGGACCTAGATCGTAAGCGCCTAGGGATCGGCGGAGATTCAAACCTAGTGTTTCGACAAGTACGGGGTGAGAACGATTGCATAGCACCAGGGTTGACGCTATTGAAGCGGAATACCCTCGATCGCATGAGGAAATGGAGCGATCATGAACTAGTGCATGTGACGAGAGCCTGGAATGGGAGTGCTGACAGTCTAGCGAGTGCGAATTTGCAACGACAAGGCGGGATCGAGGTCCAAGGAAAGCCCGAATGCCGAGACCTGGTCACTCTGAACCGGCTGGACGAAATCCTGATTCCCAAGACCGAGATCCCAGTGGTGCGAGTTGCAGCGGTCACCACCCGAGCTGCTCGAGTATGATCGCCCGCGGGAGTCATGCAAGAGGACCTGATCCGAGAGATGCGGGTAGATCGGCTCAGGCAGGCTCAGGAGGAGGAAGCCTGGATCACAGGCATAAGGAAGTATCTGGGTGGCTTGATCGTCGACCTCACACAAGCAGAAGCAAGATCGTACGGCACGATCGCGGCCGACTATGAGGTGGATGAGCAGGATCTACACTTTTATTGCGCACCCATGCCGAGATAGGGGGAAGATCACGATCGATTGCTGAGACTGGTGGTGTCCGATACGTTGCAATCTGACGTCCTCCACCACTATCACACTACGCTGGAAGGAGGACATCAGGGAGTGGGGTGTACCTACCAGCGGATCAGGGATCACTTTCACTGGAGAGGAATATATCGGAGTGTTCAGCGATATGTGGAGGAATGCGTAGACTGTGAAACGGGAACTAGAAAACCGTGATCCGGGAAGAATCCCCAATGAATTTGCAGGCGACTTATCCGTTCCAGATCATTGCGATGGATGCCATACCGTCGCTGCCCGGATCTCACAAGGGGAATACAGAGTTGCTGATCTGGGCGATCTGTTTACGGGCTACGTTATCGCGAAAGCTAGCTCGTCCCGGTCAGCCCTGACGGTCGCAGAATCGTACGAAGAGTATGTATTCGGGCGTTTTGGCATCAGTGAGATAATCCGGCATGATTGAGAATCCGGTTTCATGTCCGACTTCTTCCGGGCGTTTAACAAGATCCTGGGACAACGGCAGCGAACGACGATGGCATATCGACCGCAAGCCAACGGGGCCGCTGAAAGAATGGTGCAGACTGCGACCAGGGCGGTCAAGATGTTCGTTCGCGATCTGGATCAGAAGGATTGGACGAATACGCCGAGCGACTTACCTTCGCGATCAACACGGCCCACGATCGGATCCGAG